CTTTTCATTGTTACAAAAATTGAGCAGAAGTTCAAAAAGGACATTTACCATTGATTATTTCAGTACCTCATGGCGGACATTTGTTCCCTTCTAGCATCCCAGATCGTAAAAAAATGTTCCCTGGAGTTGTCAAATCTAATGACATAAACACACAAGAGATTGGTAGAGCTTTGTCTGATCTAATTTCGAAAAGATTCAAAGGCCTTAAACCTTATTTGTTGGTAAATCATTTGGGAAGAAGTAAAATAGATGTCAACCGACCAATGAATGAAGGAACTGAAGTAGTCAAGGGTGTGAAAAACCAAGACTTTATTGATTATACAAAAAAGAACATCAATGCTGGCGTAGATGTTAATTATACTAATGGCATTAATGAAGGATTCAATCAAACATTCGAATCAGAAACACAAATTGTTTGGAATGATTATCATACATTTATGAAAAGTGCTGTTGAAGAGATCGAAGAAAGATTTAATTATGGAATAGTTATTGACTTGCATGGTAACTAGAATTTAATTCTGTTGAATAAAAGAGAGAATAATCATAAAACTTTATAGATCAATCAATTAATTTACATATGATATTCATTTTATTTTTAGGACATGGACATCCAGAAAATTATATTGAATTAGGTTACGTTTTATCATCTGAAATATTATCTTTGCCAAGACTAAAAAATCAAGAATTAGAAAAGGTAGCTTTGGAACATACTCTAACCAATGAAACCAAAATTCAATGGAAACGATTCGCGTTTTTGGGTGATAGGATAATAAATTATAAAGTTTCAAAAATATTAATATTAAAACAAACATTGGATTTTAAAAGAATTGCTAGCGCGTATCCGGACCTGATCTCGAGAAGATACTTGGCTTCGATTGCGTTGAAATCAAATTTAGTAGAAATGGTCAATGAAAAAAAAAAGAAAATAGTGAAAGCAGGAAAAAAAACAGTGTTGGATAAATCAGGAGTGAATTTTTGGGCAGAATTAGTAGAAGTTTATATGTGCTGTTTGTACACGGAAGGAAATAACGAAGCAATTGATGATTTTGCTAATCAAATAATAGATGATTATTTTCGTAAAATAAAGGAGATGAAAGAGAAGCAACAAAAAGCTGCTGCTTTGGTTGACGAGTATTATAATCATGATTACAGTAAAATATTTAAGAGTAAACAATTGGATAAAGCTGAACAAACAAGCAAAGAAGTTAGAAAAATAATTGAAAAATTGTGGTACTTGATCAATATTACAATAAATGTTTCTAAATATTTTACAACTGATCCAACACCTTTTGTTAGTACAATGTTAGAAACAAAGAAGAAAATGAATCAAAAAAAGAAAAAGAAAGCATGAATGAACGAAAATTCGAATTTTTGATCACGAAAAAACATTTAGTATTAGTAAAACAAAATTACATATTTATTTATTTAACTAATTAATTAATT